GCCCATCAGCCAAGTAACAGCCTGTTCTGGTTTAGCGTAACAAACACCAGCACTCTGAGAGCTGGTGCTTGTTACGCTAGCCTTTTTCAGAGTAGGCTCTTTGAGAATATTAGTTAAAAGAGACCTTTGCCGCTCTAAATCCATCAACTATATAATAGAGCTTACAGCGTAAAAACGATTAAAAAGATCAACGCGTTGGAGTGGTAAGACTTGATAGTCTCACTATCTTAACATACTCGGCTCTCTTCCTTGTCACTACATCTCTGCGTATGATGAAGGCGATATCCCTAATCGACGTCGAAAAACATCAGGAAAGGGCCAAGGCAGTATGGACCTTGGCGGCATCTCCTCCGCTCGCCATGATGGAAGAACACCCCGAAGAAGCAGAAATCATTCGCAGACTTCAAGTCCTGGCAGAAGAAAGATCGTAAGAAGATGTTATGTTATACAGCGGGATGCAGCTAACATCTATTAGAGGCGTAGGCCAGCATTTCACTCGTGTTGCTGGGGCTTCTGGTCGCCTCTGTGATATTATGCGAGACTCGAACTTGTGCCGAACAAGTCTACCAAATTAATTCAACGCTGTATTTCTGCAGAGAATCTATTTGAGTGCATGCGTTATGCTGTACCAAACCAATCACAATGCAGTGAAGATCATCTTCGCGCATGGAGACCAACCAAGGGCAAAGATAAAGAAAAATCGTGATCAGAGGGGATAGGATCTAATATTTAAATTTGGTCATAGATAGCAAGGTTATGATACGCTTTCGCTTCTATTACCACAATGGATACAACGATCGTTTTTTGGCCATAGGTCTGCTACTTTGGTTCCAGGTCTTTTGTATTGCTTGAACTGTGTCCGTCTTTAAGCTCTCAAGACGTTGGATAGAGGATGTGCACCTTTCTTCAGGCTTTTCCATAACACGATTTTCTTGCTCCGCTAATTTTAATAATAGGTGTCTTTGCACCTCTAAGCTTCCCTCAATTTCGTGTATATCATGCCGATTGTTTCTGATGGTCTGTTCCTTGATGTGGCTCTTGTTATTGAATACTCTGCCTTCATATCTCTCTCGCTGCTCCATCTGACGAAAATGGCTATTGTCTTTGATGAAATCTCGGAGAGGCTTATCGGGTCTCCAGTCGGTAGGCATATTTGGAGACTTGTAGTCAGGTAAGCGCGGGCTAGTTATGAGAGCTTGAAATTGTAGCTGTGAGTCTTTGTGAATTGCGCGGGATTTGTCATGCACAGTAACCCACGCTTATATATAGGTGGAAACCCATAAGTCGACTAGGATTAGAATTATGCTAACCGGCTGTAGCCTGAAAGTTATAGTCGAGCTTAGCACCAAAAGTGGCAAGCAAGTGGGTCGCGGCACCAACCTTTGCCCCTTCGCATAAGCATGTGTATCAGAGATTCTCCATGTGAGCAAACCCTAAAAGGTGCCATAAAAAAAGGTGGCCACCACAGCAGAACAGCAGAACAGCAGAACACAACAATGCAATTCATCTTGACTTAGCTCTGCACCATTCTCTCTTAAGTGCTCTTTATATAATATTTACTTTACTGCATTCGCCGCAACATCTAGACATGTCCTTGGACAAGGATTAGTTCCAGCTTGGGACAGTTTTTCTCCCACACCCCGCAATTTACTGCCAGTCACTTCATAATTTATATAGCTGCGCTCCTGCTCCTGTATATCTGTGTGCCCTGAACTTTCTTCTACTCCTCTCCTTAGACGCTCGCTCACTTACTTCTAGCACACATGGACATCCTGATGCTAGCTTGGTATTTGCTTATACCTTCCAATATATAAGGCGAGAGAAGACAGCCTATAACAAACTCCGCGTAATGACTTAAATAGGATGTTAGAAGGCTAGGTGTTAAAAAAAATCCGGCGTGGCATTATACGTTAAAATTGCCCCATGCACCTGCTCAGACACGAAAAAGTGCTGATGATTTGTAGTTGTTTTGGCAATAATTACATCGGGACGCGAAATCCCCCACATATTCCTGGTGTCATGCTGTATTGTGATGCTTACTTCTAGCTATCTTGGCATTAAGGCACACCAGAACTTAAGCGCCGCTATCACATGTGCCTGACTTAGCATGACAGTACAGCTTGAGCTAGTAGGAATAAAAGCGTAACGCTAGTGCAAGCTTTCTAAATCTATATAATGAGCGTCTTGCCATCATCTTGTGTTCGTACCGTGAGATCAAAATCTGCTACTCTAGAACATTATGCGTTCCATACATCTTGTAAGTTTGGTACTAATAGTAATGCTGTTGCTAACATGCGACAGGCGATAACTCACGATGAGCTACTTCTTGATCAGATCCAGGCTAGAATGAGAGAAGAAGAGGCACGATGACTAGTCCTACCACGATTCCGCTAACTTTTGGTAGTTTATCTTGACAGCGAAAGCTTTTCTGTCCTTGCTTGCAAGGGCGGAACCTGAGTAATTATCTAGAGTATTTGCGGCCAAAGCTCCTACCACACAGGCTGTCTTTCGATCGCGACTCGAATTTCTCTACACAAGCTGCACAGTCTGAGCGCCCGTCACATCCAGCTATGGTTGATATCTGTCGCAAACCATGCAAGGATACAATGACATCAAATGCAGATGAAACACGGCGGTACTCTAGATGTAACAAGACCCTGCAAATGTGGCATACAAAAGACCGTTGTAGAAATCTAGCAAAAATACAGATCAATTTTTCTCCGCACCCACGCGTGCAACAATATCCAACAGTCCGCTACTTTCCTTCCTACTGGCAGCTCCCAACTAGATACGTAGAAGAATAGCAACCTCTTTGAAACTACATTAGGAGACCGTCACTCTTCTCATAATACTGCAAGCACTAATGCGGACATGCTAGACTGGTATGGTAAGGATAACAGCGACGCACCGCAAGCCATACCGCATATGCTCCTATCGCACCCAGCGCACGTTGATGTCCGACCGTCCGCCTCTCTTACGTGCACTACACGCCTGTACGACCAAGACAAAGACGACCGAGGCAACCATTCTTCCTATAATACTACAAGCGTTGAAGCGGAAATGCTAGACGCACGATCTACAGCTAGCAACTCAAATAAAATGATGATCAATTTCTTAGATGAATCTCATAGTGTTCTGTCGGATACATAATATAATTTCTATTAGCTCGGTCTGGCCGTTAAGTGGAAGTTAGGTAAGTAAACTGATATTGCAGGGGTTTGCAGAAGGATACTTCCTGAACTACTTTAGCGCTAAGCATTCTTTTTGTGACTATCTAGCGGTTTGCAAGTGGTTGCAGGAGGATACTTCTTTAACTATCATGACATTCATGCTCCTGAAAAGCTTCTGCTCCTAGAAACGCTCTGCTCCTAGAAACGCTCTG